AATTTCATATTTATCTGTTACTTCAACCACTTGAAGATCACTTGTTAGATAACCCACAACATTAGCTTGGAGAGTCATATGATTTGAGCCTTTCATTTTCACTCCAATTTGTGTTTGAGTTACGTAGCATACCCTGGGATTCCTGTTGCCAAGGGAGGAGATTGTATATTCTTCTTCATCAGTTTCTCTGAGATTCAGTCGATGTGCTAACTTTTGTGAAATAAGGGTTGCATCAGCACCGACGTCAAAGAGTACTAGGGCTTGTACCTGTTGTTCAGGTTTATCAGGATTAAAAACAGTAATTTCTTTACATAAAAGCAGTACTCTTATCCCTTCGACTTTCATAGTCCAATTATTTGATATATTTGCATTTCTAACCACAATCTTTCCTTTGTCAACTCCAGAATCTTTAGGCTGTTTGAACTGGTTAGTTTTATCGGTACAAAAGGAGCTGTTATGAGATTTCTTACAATAAAAACAACTTACCCTTTTTTTTGCAGTCGAATTCGCTATGTCCAAGCTTGAAACAATTAGGGCAGACCTTAATTTCCTTCAGTCGATCAATTCGTTGCTCGATTGTAGGATATATGTGATACTTGCTATCCCAGTGATTGTTGTTGTGGGAAATAATTTTAAGGAATGTAGATATGTCAAAAGTGATTCATAGTATCGTTAGCATTAATTTACAATGTGAATGAATTTATTTGAGGTTTCGTTTTCACGACATATATTCCTTCTTGTCTTGGCTTTTGATTCTGTACACATTCCTTCTTATCTTGGCATCTTAACTTCATCTGTTTACCTATTTGATTCTACACACATTCCTTCTTGTCTTGGCATCTTCATCTGTTTACCTGTTTCGTTCTACTCCTTATTATATATTCCCATCATCTTTGCACCATCACATTTATTCACTTTTCCTGTAATTACTATGAATAACAACCGATTAATTTTATATTATAAGAAGAAAATTTTATTATTTTTCTTTCACCTACAAAAAAAAATCTATCTACAAAATACTGTCTGATACTATCTACAAAACAAAATTAAGTGACACACAACTTTTTTTCTTTTCTTTTTTCTTTCAGGCCTGCTAGGCGTTTATTGCATTCCTTGTTTTCTTTTCCGCTATTGGAATCTATTCTTGTCCTCGATTCAACAGTTCCACAATCCAGTTCACAATGTACAGCTGCTTTTCCATGCTTTCTTGTCGACTCTGTTAAAGGACCTATTGTTAATTTGCAACTTGTCGGTAAAGTTTAAAATTTATTTTCCAAATCTAAAAATTAAAGTTTTTGCTACATTTATTTCAAAACCATTTTACTCTCCCAATATTCTTATTAATAATTTATTTCAATCAACGAAATTAATTTGTTCATATCCATTTTCTTTCTTGGTTAAAAAAAATGACATCCGGTAATTACTGATGCCACTTTTGCACTGATAGAATCGGATGTGCCTGAAATTACTTTGTTTATCATTTAATTTATTCAGTCTTTTCATTTGCTTTTTAGAAAAAAAAGCCATCCGTTTAACAAAGAAGAAAAAGCCAAAGCCATTTTTTGAAACAAAAAAGGAGGAGATAATTAGTCTAAACCTAAAACGGTCAACTCGCTTAATTGTTCATCTATTTGTTTGCTTAGTTACTTCATCTATCTTACCTATTCAAGCTTTCAATCATTTATTTACTCCCACTAATATTCTAATTAACAAATATATTTCATCTTATCTTACCATAATTTTAACAATTAAAATTTTTATAAGCATGAAAAGGATTTCAATTTTCACAGGTTTATATATTTCTTCGAAAGCAATTGATGCACTATGTGAACGATTTTATAAGACTTTAAAACGGATGGCTATTGGTTGTACATACGGTAAAGAAAATAAAAAGGATCGGTACTGTAAAGCAATTGCTAAACTTCAGGTTACAATTTTCCAGTACATAATCGATTTATCCATAAATTAAATTTATAACTTCCTTTTCTCAACAAAGTTATCACAGCTCCATCTTTTTCATTCCTTCCACAATTTTTTTGACAACTTTTTATTTATTAAATTGATATAAGATTTCAGCAAATGATAATAAAAGCTTTTTTATTTTGCTCTCTCCTAGTATTAATATAAATGAAAATATTAATAAAAAACTGCTAATTTTGCGCTTTTTAACTGTTTAAATAGCGCATGGATGCATTTTCAACATTCCTCTATCCTCCCATACTTTTTTTGGAACTAATTTTTATAATTTTTTTTCTTAATTTTGTTAATTAAAATTTCAGGTAGTAGAAGATTTGGACATTCCACCATATATTTTTCATTTGGGTGAAACATCTCAAATTGATGAATCGATTACGCGACTTTTGAGCAAACTTCCGCTGAATTGCCTTGGCTTTCGACATTATAACTCAGCTGTATTGTTTCAATTTATCGAATTCAAAATGCCACATAATATTCGATTACTTAGGTAATTCTATTACTAGTATTTTAAACATTTCTAAAAGATTTATTACTCTTAAAATTACAAAAAATTGCTTTATTAATGCTAATCAATAGGACTAATAGCGAAAATTAATGTATGGTATAATTGTAAAATAGTTGTTCATTAATTAAATCGATGATCATCATCATTGACAATCATCTATTTGATGAATATGATAAACAATGAACTGAATAATTTTATTAAATAGGTCAAAAGTAGGGATTTTTCTGAAAGTATGTTATAATAAATGTTGTGATACAACGTTATTTCTCTATATGAAGAAAATTCCCTTCCTTTTTCAATCACTGAAACACTGGAATATCACGGATATATCCGAGCGTTCACGTATAACACAAGAACAATTACATGTCAGATTAGTCAAGCTTTTTTATTTTGAAATAAAACTTACGATTCCATATTGATCCGTTTGATTGTTAGGCTATTTTCCTTTCTTTTTTTTCAGTAAAATAGTCAATAATAATGCTTTTCAAAAATAATTCAATAAATTCAACTAAGAATAATTCTATTGTTTGTCTTCTTTTTGATTGCAAAAACATTTTAGACAAAATTTTGCTACTGCTAGTTTCCTTTTCAGGATACATCATAGCGCAAATCGGATACCAAATTTTGCACAACTTGGAACACCACAACCGAAACCGGAAGAAAAGCCATCACAACGGAAAAGTTCTTGGTTGAATTCACGAAATGGTAGCAATATGGGATCTAAAAATAGCATTAATAGCTCATCTGATCGAAGTAAGTAAATTTCATTATGTTTAAAGATTATTTTCCAATGCTTACATAGGAAATTTGTTTGAATGACTGGATGAATTCAATTATTTAGTCATAGGAAATTTAAAGAATTAATTAATTGTCAAAGTAGTTTCTGTTTGAAACAAAAAAAATGAAGAAAATATTTAACATTAGAATTCATTCCTAAATTTTAAAGTAAATGAGAAAAATTATAGGCCTAGAAAGTTTAACAAATGAGATGTGGAAAGAATCATCACGAAGTAGCGTTTCCACATCTGGTACCTCAGAAATTACTCAAATGATCGTTACAAATTGTTCCAATGAACAGAAACCAAGGCAATCTTCTCTCGCTTCTAGAAATTTGACAATTTTTGCAATCGAAGAAGCACCACGTAAAATGATGGAATGCGCACGAAAGCTTCGTCGACGTGTTTACTCAGGTATATATATCTGTTGAGAAATATCGAATGATTTTCTGTTAAATTTCAAAAATTTATCGGGATTATTTGGTGGAATACGATCAATTTTTATTCAGTCTTCCTTCAACTGCTAATTGAATTTCAAAATACTGCAAAATTTCATTTTCTAATGCCTGTGATAACGAATTGTAAGAACAAATGAAATAAGCAAAAAAAAAATAAGAAATCTGATTAAATCAGCCTATAAAACTCTTTTTCATATTCATTTCTTTTTCAACAATCTTTATTCCTGCCTGCATTGATCTGACATAATGATAATCAAAATTATCCTATCCTTTTTTTGAGGGAGAAAAAAATGTGCAAAATTTTTCTTAAATCAGATTTAATTTATCATATTTGAAATCTACAAAAAAAAAAATTTGATTCTTTTAGGGGTACAAGTTTTTTATGTGCAAGAAAGTATGGATACTCAGGAAATTTTGGGTCGTATGGCAGCACCAATACGCTCACCACATGTCTATACTAGGTCATCAAAACGAGAAATACGTGTAATTAAAGGTGACCTGGTGAAACCAATACCACTATCAAGCCTAGGAATGGAAAGTGATTATGAAATGAGTGATTGGGAAGAATAAAATTGTTTTTGTTATTTTCTCGCTGACACAAATATTTTTCAATGCAAATAGTGCAAGAAAATAAAAAAAGGAAAATGAATTAAAAAAGAAAAAGTAAAAGCAAGGGAATATTAAAAAAAAATGCGACAGAAGTGGGCAAATATGATTGAATGCTAAATTGTTATCCTTCGACATTGCTTTTATCACTTCATTCTGTTATCAGTGTTCATCAGATATTCCGAATCTCTAAAAATTTTATTTACGAAGGATCTCTATCTCTAAGAAGTACCTCAGTGGGATATGTTTGAATATTGACACGCATATTTGATACCACTTTAAGCAAAATAAATTCCTGTAGTATCACAAATTTCAGTAAGTAAAGTAGAACATTTGCGCTTCAATTACTTCATCGTTGCTATATTAATACAATTAATGTATCAAAAATCTGCGAATTGAGGCAGGAGAGGAAATTAGCTAATTTTTGTAAGCATTACTTTAGTAGAACATTATTCAGTGCATAAAATTGTGCTATTTCTTTTTAATTATCTATTCTAATCAACAGCTATAAAATCAATAATATGGAATGATATGCATCAAATATGACAGTAATTACTCAGTATCCATTGCCGATTAATAATACTATACTTGAAATGGTGAAGTAATGATAATACTGATCATTTCTATTACTACATTGATGCACAAAGATACAGTAGTAATGTCGTTGAAATTCTTGAAATGAATAAGCAATTTATGGAAGGAAAAGAAGAAAAAACAATCAACGCAACGAATTGTAATTTAATTTGATTGACAAAGTTTGCCTCGCAAAGAGTGAAACAATCGGAAATCACATCTTTGAATTGAATAAAAGTTGCAAGCATACTCATGTCAACTTCATTAATTAATCAATGCTTACAATTTGAATCTGACTTCTTGTCATTAAATAAAGCAATATTTCATCAATCTAACAGCACTTTTTTCTACCAACCTCTCAAATCGTTGACTTTTACCGAAAATTCCCGTTGAAGATATGTTACCATATCTTTTTTTTTCTTCCTGAACTATTCCAGTGGAAAAGGACAAAGACACGAGGTGAAAGTGCAATATCATCAACTTATTAAAACCAAATTTCACCTTTTCCTGCTTTTGGCAACTTTTTTAAACTGAATGCCTCACTTTCAGATGTGACTTTCTTTTTCTGTCATAATGTACACTGAAATTTTAGGCAAGATTTAAGTTAAGTTTTACGTTAAGCATTCTCATACTTTCTTAGAAAGTAACG